CCAGCAGTCCAAGAGCATCTGAACAGCCACATCAGGCAGCAGGCTGCAAAGCCTATGGGGGTGCCTTGGTCCCAATGGCTTTTGGTGTTGCCATGTTGAGCTGGTGCTGCACCTGTCAGGACAGGGTGATTAGCACTGAAGTGCAGCTCCAGAACTATGTGAGAGACAAGGAGCAGAAGGGAATGAGAAAGGAGGAAAGTGTGAGAGGATGAGAGTGGGGCTGACATTGAAGGGAAGGTGAAGATCCTGGTAGAAGTGAGCCAGAGGTGAGGGAGGCATGGAAGGAATGCAGATGGGAAGTGGAGGGGCCAGAGATCCCACAGTGCTTGATAGATTTGACCCTGGGAGACCTGCTGCCAATGGCAGCAGCCTGGAGAAAGGGGCATTTTGTTCGGTAGGATGATCTGGACTCAGTGATGGTCCTGCTAAAGGGTCACACCAGGGCTCCATCGTCAGGCTCTGTCCTGGCTAGGAATCCTGCCTCGGGGCCAGGGCTGTGAAGACACAGCTCAGCTTCTTCCCAGGAGTCCTGCTGGGCTCAGGAACTCCTCCAACTGGATGGCAGCAGGCATAGATATAAACCTTGGGCACAGATCAACTCCGACATCACCAGCAGCCATCTGGCCACTGCTGCTGGGGGGCTTAATAAGAGCAGGGAAAATGAGATCAGTCACAACAAAGAACAAACATTCCTGGCCAGGAGTGACCAGAAAAACAAATCCTTAAGCCAAAGACAGTCCAGGTGGAGCAATAAAATGACGTTTTCTCATAAAGGAAGTTTTTCACCCACCAGTCTCTGTGGGTGAGGTGGGAGTGGAGCAGGCTGCCACAGGAGGGAGGTGGCAACAGAGTTATTTTGCCGAATGCTTCGTTGTTTGCTGTGGGAGATAAGATAGAAAGTGCTCTGATGGCAATACTTTCTGCAAATATTTGTTGACTGCATTTGATTCTATCCAAGCAGAGACCACCAGCATACCCTGTCTGTGAGGAAGAGATTGTTTCCAGGTTGTCAGAGAAATTCTGTTTGTCATCTCCATCTGGAGCTGTTTTCAACAGCAAGCTTGCATTCTCAGCCCATGTGCATTTTAGTCCTGCTCCAGCCTGGGTGTCACTGTTTGGGACTGGGACTGACCCAGCAGATAGGAATGATGCTCACAAGAGGTGCAGAGCTTGTGGGATCCTTTGGGCTGCACTGGCAGGAGTGGCTGAGGGAGCTGGGATGGTTCAGTCTGGAGAAGAGGAGGTCAGGGGAGATCTCCTCACTCTCTCCAATACCCTGAAATGAGGTTGTGGCCAAGCTGGGGTCGGTCTGCTCCCAGGTAGCAGTGATAGGATGAGAGCTGATGGCCTCACGTTGTGCCAGAAGAGGTTCGGGTTGGATATTAGGAAACATTTCTTCTCAGGAAGAGTGGTGATGCAATGGCACAGGATGCCCAGGGAGTGGTGGGGTCACTGTCCCTGGAGGTGTTCAAGGAACTCGTAGATTTAGTCCTTAGGGATGTGGTTAGTGGGCAACATTGGTGGTAGGTGGATGGTTGGACTTGATGATCTTAGACCTCAACAGTTCTATGACTCTATGATCCAGGGAAGAAAAAACATGAGACTGAGAATTTCAAGCAAAGCTCCTTGGGGCAGTCTGGTTTCCAGGCTCCTGTATGTGTTACCCACCCACTCCTTGTGTAGGGACGTGTTGCTCCCCTTCAGTTAAAGCACCCTCCAGCAGAGTATCCTGTCCCAGGAGGTGGGCACCCCCCTCACTGGGGTACTTCTCTGCTAGAAAAAGCTCCTTCCAACACTAAAGCAATTCCTCCACAGCAAAGTGCTCATGTGGGACGATTAAGCCAGCCTGCAGACTTCTTGTTAGTCAAGATAAACAGGTTGAGCTCCTTCGACTTGCTCGTTTCTCCATCCATCTAGTGGCTGGCAGGCTCTGCACAGGCAGCTGTTGGCAGCACACGCATTACTCTCAGCTGTGCTGTGCTGCTGTGCTCTGCTCTCCCCTCTTTATCCCTTGACTCGCTCCTCACGTGCTCTCAGTGACCCCTGGCAGACCTGCAGAGCCCCGTTGGACCCCTCGATGAAGCACTTGGCTGTATCTCAGTGTGAGGGAGGAGGGACCCCCGGGTGATTCCATCTCTCCAGTCCTGCTGTGGATCTATCCATCCTTCCGTTCTTCGCCTCGGCCACAAAGTTCTTATGAATGAGTTTTTAACATGCATGTTCGAATCATTGATGAAAATACTGACTGCCTTAAACCTCCTGCTGGAAAACGACATGAAAACCACAGGTTTAATGACAGCTCCCCATCGACGACGGCTGTCTGAGCTTCTGCCCAAGTCTCAATCTCTCACGTGCTTCTCCCTGACACTGCTGAGCGCCCATTTTTAATCAGCCATGCAGCGCAGTCCCTGTGCTGAGGTGTATCACATCTATTCAGCTACTTTTATTAACCGAACCTGTGATCTCTTCTCTGAATGGAATGAGGGCTGACAAGATCCATTTCCCATAAAGCCATGCTGATTGGCACTAATTCTCCTTCCAGCTGACTCCTATATCACTTTCCCTTGGCTTTGTCCATGTCTGATGCTCAGGGCATCCCCCAGCCTGCTTTCTCTGGTGGGGGTGTGTTGTATCTTCCAGTAGTACTGCACTTACTGGGGATGCTCCTGTGTGATGTAACACCTTCCCACTATATAAGATAACCCCATTCAGTGCCATTTAATCTTTGATCTTAACATTGCTGGTGAGTTCTTCAAATTCCTCTTGTGAGACAGACATGAAGACAGCCCACAAACATTTATTGCATTTCTGCCTTATTAAGAGCTTGGTCATCTCTAGAAGAAAAACCCCTGCACCATTTTACTTTGCTCACTGAACATTTCAATTGCCTTCTCGCTGTCATACGTTCACTAACTTATGCATTTTTAACTGATGAGTGCAGTTCCTTGTATCAATTTTCCATACTTCATAACACCTAGTTGAAAATCAATGGTTGTCTATTTCCCCACTCCATGTTGTTACGTATCGCTTTTTCTGCTCCTAATAGCAGCCTCCACTGCTGGAAGGATGGGCACCTGGCCAAAGGCATCCTCTTAGTTGATTATGAAGTTATGGCTCTCTGAGAAAAACTCCCATTTTTCACTCCCATTACGGTGCTGTTTGTTGTCCCTCCTCTGATTGCAGTTTACTTCTCTCATGGGACGTTTCCCTTCTGCAACACCACAGAAGCCCTGACCCGATGCTGAGAACGACTGCTGCCCTTCCCTGGTGGGATGGCGTGCCTCTGGGCTGTGCCTCCATGGAGACCCCCTGCTCCTCCAGAGTTTGCAACCCTGAGAAGAAAACGGGGCAAATCCAAATCAATAATTTATGAGTGACAATTTTCACCTTTCGGGGAAGAGAAGAAAATCGTTCCATAAACATTTTTCTTTTCCATTTCCTACCGGTTACTTGAAATTTGATTTCCATCTAGTTGGTTTCGTTGAACCTCCCCAGCATGATTTGAAAAGTGTCACCAACGATTACCCAGCTGTGGAAAGAAGGAAATGGCAACAGAGAAACTGCCTCACCAGCCCCAGAGGGCCCAGCAGAAGGATGGGGTCAATGGCAGATCAACAGCTTGTGGGACCAGAAATGGCAAGTCAGAAGCTGATCTAGCACTGCTCCAGCTGCATGGCATTGCCTTTGGGGTGGCTGGGACAGGGAAAAAGGGTATGACCTCATGCCATGCCAGTGGAGCTTCAGGTTGGATGCTAGGAAAAGATTCTTTTCCAAAACAGTGGTAATTCATTGGAACAAGCTGTCCAGGGAGATGGAGGAGCCACTGTGCCTGGAGACATTCTAGAAATGTAAGATGTGGCACTGACGTGGTCAGTGGGCAGTGATGGTGGTAGATGGATGGCTGGACCAGATGACCTTGGTGGTCTTTTCCAACCCTAATAATTCCATGATTCTCCGATCCACATCATGGGGCAAGTGAAAAAGGGGCTGTGGGTAGCAACAGCTGGGCGTCTGATTGCATGCATGCACATCATCTTTTGGTGGAGAATCTGGAGGGTCTGATGCAGGGAGCCTGGGGAACCCCAAACACCACGCTGAAAATCTGTGATCTTCCTGATACTTGCAGAAGACAAGTGCTGAACAGGCAGCAGCCCTTGGTGGACGTCATCCAAGCCTGGAGGTGTTTACAGTGTCAGCTCTTTGAGCATAATAGGGAATTACATGAATAGGCTGGCTGAGTTTGAAAAGTAATAGCTGCGTTTAAAGCAGTTAGGATCAAGTGATGCTTGCCAGTGCCATGGCTGCCTCATGGTCATGGCAGACATGGCTGTGCTGTCCTGTGAGCCTCTAGGCAAGGAGAGCACTTATGTCCCTTCTAAGAGAAACTGCAATAAGTAAATATAGAAATTCAAAACAACTCCCAGCACCTGTTCCGTAGGAATGATTGCCCAATGCCTTTACTTAGCGCAGAGGAGCATTAAGCTTTCCATGCTGGAAATGAGCTGTTCTCTTGACCTTTTGCTTTTAAATAAATACCCAGGATGGCAATAACAGCTCCAAGTTGAACGCATCAGCTAGAGGACTGCTGGGTCTGGGAGGGGGGAGGAAACCTGGGGCAGCACTGTGTGCTCTCCTCCAGCCCCGAGGGAAAGCTCAGCACGTGTCAGAGGTGGGTGCCACCATGCATGAAGGCTGGATATTAAGAAATTTGGATAAAAAAATCTCAGAAAGAGTGGTTACACATCGACACAGGCTGCCCAGGAATGTCACAGAGCTCCTGTCCATGAAGGTATCGAAGAACCGCGGAGATGTGGCACTGAGGAACGTGGACTGAGTGCATGGTGGGGGTAGGTCAGCGACTGGACGTGATGATCTGAGATGCATTTTCCAACCTTAATGACCCTAGGGTTCTATTCCATGATTCTAAGGGCAGATGTTCCCTTCTGCAGGCACGGTGGGACATGGAGGGTACACACAAGTGGGACCTGGCTGTGCATGGATATGAGACCTCTGGTTGAGCAAAGCCAGACCCAGTTCTGGGCTCAGGTAACATCCTGCTCCCCATATCCCATGTTTAGGTTAATATCTGACATCACCTTTGCTGTGATTTCCACCATTCTGCCCCACAGGCCCTATGCAGCAGAACATACTGCTACACTGGTGTCACATCCCACCCCCAGGAGAGCTGGAAGAGGTTTCTGCACAGGACCTGTTTTTGGTTTTTCGCCCAGCTGCATTGCTCTGAAGACTGATGAGTGCACTCTGGAAGCTAATTAGAAGTTTCTTGCACAGTTTGACTAAAATTGGTCAAACTGTTATGGAGATCCAGGTCAGAGACATTACTCAGATTTGGATTTGCTCCTTAAATTGTAGGTTTTGGAGTATGCTCATCCATCTGAACTAGAAAAATCTTTCCACTGGGCAGTCTGGGCCAAGGCAGGTGAGTGACAGTAATTAAGCACTGCTGCTAACGAGGCTTTTACTTTAGAGTTATACACCCTCCTCCTGGTGGCAATTTTCAGCCTAGAGATTGGTGTGAAAAGCTCCTGACTTGCTTTTAGTATGTTTTTATTAAGTAAAGTGAAGGTGAAGATATAGAACTCTGTTTTTCTCCTTCACTGGGCAGGGCCATATAGCAGCCCCAAGATGCTTCACAGCACAGTGCTGACCACTTACCCCTATCCCTCTTCTTGACTCCCTTCTCTTGCTGTGGGGACACTGAGCTGGATGGGGTAGGAGAGGAAGTTGTCCAGAAGGTTTCAATGGGATCCCACCTGTTCTGAGAAGGCAAAGCTTTGCTGCAAAGGAATCATGAGGGATGAGCCAAAGTACAGACATCTCTTGGCTATGGTTGGGTAAGTGAAGATTGTGCTCTTCAAAATAAGAGGGTGAAGGATGTGGTTGTCCCCCTCTACTCAGCCCTCATGATACAGGACCCATCTGGAGTACCATATCCATGTCTGGAGCCCATAATGCAGGAGAGAAGTGGAACTGTTGGAGAGGGTCCAGAGGAGGGACACACAGATGATCAGGGGGCTGGAGCACCTCCCTGTGAAGATAAACAGAGCTGGGCTTGTTTGGTCTGGAGAAGAGAAGGCTGTGGGGAGACCTCATTGCAGCCTTCCAGTATTTGAAGAGAGATTATAAACAGGAGGGGAATCAACCACGAGGCCCCCTCCAATCCAAGCCATTCAATGATTCTATGATTCCAGGACTGCAGCAACACCTGGGGCTGCAGAGGCATTGGCTCAAACCGTGAAGAGGTGCTGACAATTTGCTTTGCATTTCCAGCATTTGATGTTAGATAACAGCTGTCCCAAGCAGATGATTAATGCACATTCACTACCCACGAATGGGATTTTCCTTTGTTCACCAGAGCAACATGAACTGGAGTTCCAAGCTTTCACTGCTGTGCCACGGCTGTGCCATTTCAGAGAAGACAGAGCCCTGAAAAATTCATGTGCAGTTCTTGCAGGAAAAAAAAAACACCCTACAAACTTAATATGGGTTCTCCTGACACGCGAGCCCTCTATTAGGCCCTGTAAACTTTTCCTGACATTACCAGTTCATGAAAACTTTGATTTTGGCTGTTGACTAAATCTTTAATCTTCCTCTACCTGCTAGCCCTGTCTCCTTTTCTTACTTAAAAAAACATTTTGGATTTGTCTTCGATGGCATCTTTCAAATGTCAGCAGTTACCAGACTAACATGGAATGCAAAGGCCTTGGCAAACAGTCTTTTAAAGAGCTGGGGCATATAAATTTAAAAGCATGATATAATCTAGGAGGAATCCATCAGGCAGGGGAGCCTCTTGCATGAAGTGTATTGAGAAATGAACACAATATGAGCAGAAGGAAAATTGCTTTTTCCCTTTTGAATTTTTATTCACTTACCAGCAATATTTACTAGTAGCAGGCAGAATCTATTTTTCATTTTCTGGGGAGATGGGAGAATTCTGGTGCCACTCATCTTGTCACCAAATTAAATCTGTCGACTCGCTGCCAGGTTGCCGCGATATTAATGATACACTTGTAATCCCTTTCATTTGGGAGGGCTGCGGATGGAGAAGTGAGACACTTGACCATTGTTCACACATTGTAATAGAAGGAAAAAACAGCGCTTCTGAACGGCTGGGAAACCGTGGCTCCCTCTGCCATTTATTCCCCCTGTGTTAACAGAGCCTGGCTGCAATCAGCTCTCACGGCTCGGTGTGTGGACACCCGGCCATTGCTGGCTTTTATGTAGTAATCAGTCTCGTGTACCTTGGAAAAGACCTCTGAGATCACCAGGCCCAACTCCAACCCTTCCCACCATGCCCACCCACCGTGTCCCTCAGTGCTGTACCTCCGCATTGCTGGAACACCTCCGGGGATGGTGATTCTACCACCGCCTCCCTGGGCAGCCTTTTTGGGATGCCAGGATTTGGACTTGCAGGCTGTGGCACTGCAGGGGCTGATGCTCATGGCAGGATGGAGAGCTTTGCCCTTGGGAGTCACACTGTGGCTGTACCACTCTGTGCCCTTCCGGCTCACCAGACTCCTAATTAGCATTCCTTTTGCGTGCTTAATTAGCACATTCCTGCCTTTAAGTTATGGGCTGCTTTCCTCTATTTACACCCTCCTAAAACATCAAGGGAGAGGTCCATAAATTACATCTCATGAAAAACATTAATTGTTTGAACTCCTTCTAGGATTCATAATGTTCTTCTTGCTACCCACTTTGCAGGAGCAGGAACACAACATGAGAGGAGGCATCAGATCTATTTGAGCCCCTCCAGCCCCAGGCGTTATGCTATGATGCTTGGAGAAAGTCTGAAAACTGAAGAAGTATCTGCTTTCAGGCATATGGTCGGATTTTTGGGTACAGAGCCAGAAGTTGGATTTGATGATCCCTGTGGGTCCCTTTCAACTCAGGACATTCCGTGGCCCCCACTTTTCCTGCATTCCTGGAAGAGACCAACACACAGCAGAAATCCAGGCTGGTACTGGTGGAGAAGTGAAGCTGAAGGATAAGGAATGGACTCTGCTGTGTTTGTTGTCCTTGTGTGGCTTCTTCTGCAGCTCTAGGACATGGCCTAAGTGGGACTGGTCTGACTGGCTGATGGAACTTGATGCACTGTGCTGAACCTGGCTGCTGCAATTCATATCCTACGGTTCCAATCTTCACAAACATGGGAATCTGATGTCTAGGATTGAAGAAGTCTTTTGGCATAGAGCTCACAGGTCTGAAGGTTGCTCTGCACTTTCCCCCACAGCAGTTATCATCACTGACCATTTCGTACCAGCCTACCAAGGCTCAGATCACCCCAGATCTGGACCACACCAGCTGGAGCAGATTTATGCCACTTTTCCTCTCTCCCCAGAGAGATGCTGAGGCCACTTTTCTGGAGTCCCCAGTGCTACTTTTCCCCAGGACAAGGAATCTCGTGCAGCCTCCTGGGGACAGGCACTGTGCTTATAGGCTCAACTCTGCATGGCATAACTTCTCCTCCAAGCAGCAGCTCCTAGTCTTTTACTACCTTGCAGTGAAGGAGTCTGAAGAGTTACTGTGCCCTATGCTTCCTATAGGGTTGGTTAGACACGAGCTGGAGGCTGTGAGGCATTTGGCAGGCATCCCCTCCATTTACATGTAACAAGCTTTAGCTATTGAACTCTCATTAACAATTAAAGTGCAGCCAAGACCTTGGCTAATGAGAAAAAAATGTCACCCTGAAATGTGAGCTGGCCTGGTGCCTCCTGCTAAGTGCTGAGCAGATGAGATCAAGAGTTCTTCCTGCCAGTGCTGCTGCTTGGGCCTGTGTGCTGACAGAGATCACAGAATCATAGAATATCCCAAGTCAGAAGGGACCCACAAGGATCATCAAGTCCAACACCTGGCTCCACATGGATCCTTGGATGGATTCATCCACCATGCAAGGACACTGAACCTGGAGGAGACACACAGGGAGCTCTGCCATTCTGAGATACCTCTGGGGTATAATTTCATGCCTGTTATCACACGTAGGAACCTCGTGATCTTCAGGTGCAATTGGGTGCTGTCACAGTCCAGGTACATTTCAGTGGATGAACACTGGGCAGACCACCCATGATTGCGTAGGGGACTCGTGTAACGGTGTGAATGTTGGGCTGATGTATCAGTCCAGGCTGTGTGAGGAAATGTTGAGGGAATTAAGAGCCCTCTCTCCATACTGAGTGACGTTCTGCACACACTGTGCCCTTGCCCAGTGTCCCAGGCAGCCTGCTGCACTCAGCAGAAGGGAGCACTGCGTGGGACGTGCGTGTCATCTTCAGATGCTTTCTACATCATCCTAGGAAAGAATGCAACAAGGCAGGCAGTAATTCTACATGCATGCTTTGCATCTATCTGGAATTTACACATTACTGCTATTGACACTCATGAGTGTTTTTAGTCATACAAAAATATTACTTGTGTTCAAGGATGCTCCATGGATACCAGCAAACCTTCCCAGTGAGAAAAGCTTCGCAGGAAGTTTGCTGCTGAATTCAGCCTCCCTGATCTCCAGTACTGGCGTTTCTGCAGTGTGCATTCACTCTGTATGTGCTTTCTATAAGTTGAATGGTTATTTTCTTCTTTTCTTTTAAGATATATTTGAAAATGTAAGTCCAAATCACATCCACGGGGGTTCTTTTGGTCTGTTACAGATCATGGAAGAAAATTGGAATCCTGTCAGCCATCTTTAAGAAATAAACCTTGTGTTTCTATAGGATTTCAGCTTTCTGAATGGCCAAGAGTGTGGCACCACCACCTTGAGTGCTTGGAGATGGTATCTCATGGTCCTCAGCTTGCACAGTAAAAGCCTATCACCAACCAGCTTCTGAGCATAAAGACATATTGGGTTCATCACCGTTAGACACTGGCTGGCCTTTGGTTACTGTCAGCTCCATTTCATTTGGCGTGGGCTGGGAAGAGATGGCTGAGGCAGAAGGACTCAAAACACAGGGCTTTGAATCAGAAAAATGCCATGGAGAAGATGAAACAAAACTGAGGAGAAGGGAAAAAACAGATGTAGAAATGAGAATGGGAATTGTGACTTCCATAAGAGCAGTTTTGGTGGCTAGGGGGTTATCCCCAGAGAAAGGAAATGTAGGAAAAACAATTGTATTTTAGGAAGAAGAGCATTTAGAAGTTAGAAAATCAATACATAGAAAAAGGAAAAGTGTTTGGGGACTGATATAAAATCAGAAGTCAAGAAACCTCGAAAATATGTGTAGAAAGTGACGTATATGAGTATAACCCATGTTTGGCAGGGCTAAATTAATCAGAAGGATGTAGAAGATATTAGACAACAACGAAAAAAAGAAACAAAAAGACTCAAATCCCAGCGACGTGTCAGAGCCAGAGCAAGACAAAGTCCTTAGGGAGACATGAAGTTTGGTGGTCAAACAGAGGCAGCAGGTGGAATTTTCAGCCCAGTGAAACCCAGCAGTCTAATGATGTTGCTAATGCAAAAGCTGAACAAGCTGAGACTTTGCCTGTGAGGAGGGCTGGGAATGGTGCAATCCACAGAGCTTCATCAGTGATTAGTGCAGTTAAACATTTTTATCAATTATCTGTGAGTAAATGGAAAAAATGACTGCTAATTACAGCTGTAGCTTGCAGTGCCAGCTTTACGTTCAGGAATAAGGAACAGAAATCATTCTTACGCTGCGGAGCAATATCTTCTGCCAGAAAAGAAGAAGAAAAGAAAAAACGAAGATTTCCTCTGGGCAAAGCAGCTCCTGGGGCATGCAATGGCAGAGCAGGCACAGGAATGTGAAAGTGGGGCACAGTGGGTCAGGGTTATGTGCATGTACTTGTGGGCATCTGCCTGTGCAGGGCATGAAAACTGGCTGCAGAACTGAAGGGAGGAGGCTCCTTGTTTGGCGGTGAAGTTCTGGAGCTGAATGCTTGCTGCCAAAGACAAGAGTGAACCTGTCTCCCCAGCAGGAGTAGCAGTCGATCCCATCCAAAGGAAAAGGTGTGAATTTGGAGCTAACTTCTGACAAGCCCAGTGCTGGGCATTTATCCAAACACCATCAGATTTCGCCTTTTTCTATCCAACACCAAGCTGACTCAGGAGTAGGGCATGGTTTGAGCCTGGGTACAGCTGGATCTGCTGAGGAAGCACAGGAGAGCTGTGTGTAGAACCACAAACTGCCAACAAGATGTGCAGCTGGACCCCTGCATTCCACAAGATGGGCTCTGATTCCTAGAGCAGTGACTTGCTCTCACCAATGGTCTCACCAATGGTCTTCCCTGCGTCTTACCAAAGAAATCTCACTGTTGGGCTGTTGTGTTTTGTCTTCAGCTGTGCCGCTCCTGTACCCCACACGGACAGAAATATTTGAGCATCCATTTCTTTCTCTCTTCTGCAAAGCCTCATCCAGCAGAAGATTCCAGCATACCTGAAGGGAACGGTTTGCTCAAAGTGGATGAGACAGAAGGTATTTGGATCATGGGGTGTGCAGCTTCAGGTGTACCCCTGTGCAACACAGGTTGTGTTTGATCTTCGTAGGTGGGTTTCATCTCTATTTGAATTTCTCCAGCTTGCCTCTTGTTTCTCGACAGATCCTGTCTCTTTTCTGTAATGGAATAGTGACAGATCACTGCAAAGTGCACGTGTCATGTAGCTACTTACAGAAATGCATGCACAAGTGATCTCAACAGGCTTTTCCCACTGAGATCCTTGTAGTAGAAATTGCGCCATTGATTTTCCAGCATCCTATGAGCAATATTTATTTCCACATTTGCCAAATGCACATACTCCTTGCACAACAGAAATGTGCATTATTTTACCATTCATCAGGTGGCTAAGCATTTCCAGGCAAGACACAGAGCCATTTTCTGCACCTGCTCATCTGGAAGAGAAAATGAAGAACACTACATCCCAATGAAAAGGTGGAGGTAATTGAGACAGACAACATTTAATAATAGGCTCAGAATATGCCCAATAACCAGAAACAGCAGTTTTGCTCTTGCAAAAAACCTCATCCTGATTATTTTAATGGCTATGAGTCTCTATCTTAATAAGTAGGTGTTTGAGAGTAAGTAAAACAGCTTGTGCTGAAGGCAAATGAATACACCCAGTAGCTGCAGAGGTCTGAGACATCTGCATCCTGCCCCTCTGTCCTTCCCCCATCCAGGGCTCCCCTTTCCCTCTGCTTGAGGCCACTGCTGAGGGGGTGACACCTCAGGTCACGTTCATGGTCACAGCACTCCGTGGTTCTTGGGATGTCTCTTCCCATAGCAAAAGCAGGCTCTGCACCAGAATTTGCATCACTCAGAGATCTGGGCAAAGAAAAGGAGCTTTCTGGTGGCACTGAGTTACACGGTTAGTGTGCATGGTGAGGATGGGCTGATGGTTGGACTAGATGATCTTAGTGGTCTTTTCCAACCTTCATGGTTCTATTCTATGTTTCATTCCTTGATTTTTGGAAGGCGGAAGCTGCCCTTGTTGTCCTACACAGCCTGGAGCTGGCAATGACCTCTCCTGGATGAGAGTCTGAGCTCGGGCATGGAACAGGGCTGCTGCAGTCCTGCTTGGTCTATGGGATACCCCATCTTTCTCCTTCCCAGAGCAGTGCTTTGGCCTGTGCTCGCTTGCAGCCAGCAAGGTGGTTCCAGGGGCTGAAAGCAATCTTGCCAAGAGCAGCACTTTTCTGTCCCCTGGATAACATTTCTTTATTTGGCAACCTTGCAAAACCCAGTTAATATAACCACAAATAAAAATGCCTGTAACCGGCCATATATTAAGAGAGAACTGGCTAAATCCTTGGTGGGTGTAAGTCAGTGTGGCATCACTGGCTTCCAGGGGGCTACCTTGATTTACACCCGCTGACTTCAGGCCAAACATTTACATTTACAGCGTAGAGACATGATAAAATGAAATAAAAACAAAATACTAAACACGATTCCGTCTTCAAGCTTTATGTGAGCCATAAATGGGTTTGAAATCAATCACGTGCCTCTCGCGGGCCATGTAACTCAGACCAGAGGAGCGCGGTGCGGAGCCAATTGCTCACCCCACCTGCTGAATCGTGCAGAGATTTGTTGGTCTGCGGAGGTGCACTCCACACAAAGCACCATTTTTTTTGAGGCTGGGAATTATGCTGAGAAGTCAAACTCTCGGAAGGCTGGGGATGCTGGAATTAGGACTGTGTGGGGAGTGAGAACTTTTCCTGGTGCTTATGAATTGAGAAGTACCTTCTGTTCTCAGCCACATCTGATTTTCCCCACCTCACTCATTTTTTTCTGTGTGATTTCATCTTTTTTTTTTTGTTTCAAATCACGCTCTTTATCACTGGTGGGAAATTTCTTTAGGGATGAGACACTAAATGGCATTTCCTTCACTGTTGATCTACCTCTGTTACCTGTTCCATTTCAGGTTTGTACCTGGGGCATTTGACATCACCACTGTTCAAAAAGTTGGAAAGACAGCAACGAAATTATTCCTAATCTTGTCTCTAGGCTGCTTCAGAATGTCTGTGTTGCTTAAAAAGGCAGATTTGCTACTGGACAGAGACTGAGAGCTACAACGTGAGGCTGAAGGGACGGGTGCAGTTAAAATCAACTAAAAGTGGTTGTACAGAAGTTTTGACTTTTGCTCTCAATGAAAACTGGGAGTTTTGGGGCTTGCAGAGCAGAAAATCTGCTTTCTGTGTTGCTTTAAAGCCTTCTCCTCAAGTCCATCCGTGGTTGTGATGTAAATGGTGCAGGTCATCCTTGGAGCCTTCGCTCCTTTTCTGCAGCAGCAGTGTGTAGAATGGCAGCTCATTGGCTCAGGGCTGCTGCATACTGCGAGAGTTTGTGTTGCCTTCTCCTTAGAGATGTTTGAGTGACCTTGAAACACGAAACCCATCTTGATAACTGCATCACAGCTTTTGGTGATCCAAGGTCACACTCTGGACAGGACACGATGGACATCCTGCAACCCACAGCCTGGCAATGCTGTTTGTCCCAAGCTGTCGGTATCTCTGCTGAAAAAAAAGAGAAATGTTGCAGACTTACATGACAAGCCAAATCCTGGGATTTATCACTGCCTCCTGAGGGATTAGAGCAGCAGGAAGGAGCTGAGCCTGTGTTTTCTTTCTGATGGGTGATTGCTGTGGATGTTGCTTCTTCTTAGCCTTCCTGACAAGAGCTTCGGATTTGCTTCTTGCATCTAAGCTGTGTGATGAATGGTTGGGGTGATTCCATGGACCTTTGCAGCAGCTTAAGATGCTGTGTGGTTTTGTTGCTTCCTGAAGTTGCTGTGGCAGCAGGCAGCCCCGTGGCTGCGCCAGGAGCCTCCGGCCCCATCTCTGTGCTATGTGAGCACTTCTCAAGCAGGTGGGCTCTGTGCCTGGCCCCTTTGGCTTCCCCACTGCATCCAGGGTAACTAATGATGCTGGGAGAGACATTGAGGCCCTTTTCCAGAAGATCTCCCATTGGTCTTGCCATTCACAAGCAATGCATTTCAATAGCAGTCCTTGGAGAGAGGAACTAGAGAGGTTGGACCACAGCGTTTCCAAATATCTTCCTGGACCAGTACAAATACTGGTGGTCCCTGGAACAGCCCCAGCGTGGCACGTTCCCAGGGCTGTGAGTTCCACAAGCTGCAGTGCCAGGCAGGGATGCTCACTTCATCCATGCAGGCTTTGGGTGCTGTACACTTGGGTTGCCTGAATGCACTTCCTGGTGTTTCCTTGACAAGGCACTTCTTAAAGCTTTTATTTTCTATTTGGGAACTAGGGTAGGAATTTAGGAAAGGCCAAACATCTCTAGGAGCTCAAAGATGTGGTTTTAGGCTCAATCTGGGCTGGCAGGATTGAAAGAAGTCAGCGAAGACTGGTGAGAAGTCTTTAGAGGTGTGGTATGAAAAGAATTCCAATGACTGATCTTAACAGGGCCAGGGATTTGTGAGAGCACATTGACACTGGGCATCAAGCACGCAGTAATGAGCCTTAGTCATTAGAAAGAAAAGACCAGGCCTTTACATTTCAAGGTGAAGCAGAAGGGTTGGTCGTGGCCCCCCCCAAAAAATTCAGTAAACAAACGCAGTCTGGAGAGGAAAGGAGCCAAGCTCAGATGCTGCAACGTGATCCAGAGGGAACCAGATTGATTTTGTAAAACTTCTGTCAATGCGTTTTAGCAAATCAGTGCATCCCATTTGGCCTGGCTTCCTTCAGGGAGGTCACTGGTTAATCTAATGCAGGCAATGAACCACTTCCTTTCTGTTTATTCTTTGATTCTGCTTTTCTAGCAGGTATGGCTTTGCAACCAGCATGAGAAAACTGTGTTTACTGCCAGCACCTGAAAGCATTCCGCTCCAACAGATGCCTGTATTTCATTTCAAACACATCAGGATGTCTCTAATTCTCTGGCAATGGGAAGTTGTGTGTAGTGAATTCTGGAATACTTTTTTAATAAGTTCTCTAGTAAGGATGCAGTTAAGCTGAATTTTAAAAGCAAAGATAAAATGTCTGGTTGCCTTCTTATAATAATCTCTCTTAGCAGTGAACAATGAAAGCACCTGTATGATGCGTACAAATGAAGTGACTGCAATTAAAAGTTATGCAAGCAGGAAAATTGTCAGAAGTCTCTGTAAGAGCAGGGAAAATATCACTAATAGACTCTGGGAATAAGGGCTGTGGAAGGCAGAGACATGGGAAATATTTATTGCAATATGTCATTGCAATGCATATAAAAGAAGCAGGAAGGCAACACACCAAAAGGAGACTTGGCCTTTTTTTTGTACTTGGGAGGATACATTGGAGAATTTTCTTTTGGCAACAGAAGATGACAAGGAAGTGTCTGACGTTTCTGTGATCCACATTTGCAGCTTCAGGTTCTGAGATAAGAACACTCTGAATGTTTTTCAAGGATAAATCAGCAAGAAGATGATTAAAGTTGTTTGCTTTCAAAATGTATGCCCTGTCTGATTAATAGACAGTTCATAGCTTTTTTGGAGCTATTACTCCAGGCTGTCTTCAGCTGCATGTCATGGAATCATAAAATCATGGAACCATGATGGTCGGGAAAGACCTCTAAGATCCCCAAACCCAACCCCAGAAGATTCTACCGTGCCCATAACCATGTTCTTCAGTGCCACATCTCCATGGCTCTGGAATATCTCTAGGGACGGGGACCCCACCACTCCCTGGGCAGCCTGTGCCAATATTTCACCTCCCACAGACATCAGTATGATAAACTGATGGATAGCGTGAGGATGAAACGAGCCTATCTGTCCACCCAACCCCAAAGCAGATCAGCTCAATGCATGCTCACCCAACAGATTATTAACAAATCCCTGATGACGATCACGTATTCCAGCGCTCTACGCTTCAGAAGGCTTCTCAGACATCAGGAGGAATTTCACCTTCGCTGGGCTTCAGGCTCAGTCCTTGCACTCATCATCTCCAAAATCCAGTTGTGCCAGGAGAAAATCCAAACATTATACACGGCCAAGAGCTTCACACGAGCTGAAGCAAATGGTATCCTGGGGTCCATCAAAAGAGGGGTGGCCAGCAGAGACAGGGAGGTGATCGTCCCCCTCTACTCTGCTCTTGTGAGGCCCCATCTGGAGTACTGCGTCCAAGTGTGGAGCCTGCAGTACAAAAAGGACAGGGAGCTGTTGGAGAGGGTCCAGAGGAGGGCTGCTAGGATGATCAGGGGACTGGAGCACCTCCCCTATGAGGACAGGCTGAGGGAGTTGGGCTTGTTCAGCCTGGAGAAAAGAAGGCTGTGGGGTGACCTCACTGCAGCCTATCAATACCTGAAGGGAACCTACAGAGGGGAGGGGAATCAACTCTTTGGAAGGGTTGATATGTGTAGGACGAGGGGAAATGGTTTTAAGTTGAGGGAGGGGAGATTGAGGTCGGACATCAGGGGGAAATTCTTTACCCAGAGAGTGGTGAGGTGCTGGAACAGCTGCCCAGAGAGGCTGTGGATGCCCCGTCCTTGGAGGTGTTCAAGGCCAGGTTGGATGGGGCCCTGGGCAGCCTGGTTTAGCATTAAACGTGGAGGTTGGTGGACCTGCATGTGGCAGGGGGTTGGAGATTCATGATCCTTGAGGTCGCTTCCAACCCTGGCCATTCTGTGATTCTGTGAAGCTGTATGACCAGCTTCAAATCAAATAGGGAATGCTTGGGCAGTGTTTCACTGCTCATTTTACTTCAAGAAACAGCTACCATAAACAAAAAATGAAGTTGGGAGGTAGCATTTCATGACAATTGCTTGCTCTGAAGCTCCTGAAGAGTTTCGCATTTTTCAGGCAAGTCAAGCAGAAGAGGCTAAGTGCACCCAGCTGTAGTACAGAAAATTGGGGAGTGCTGCAGTCCATGTAGGAAATAAAACCCATGAGCAGTATGCTTTTCAATGGATGGTACACAAGACAAAATCATAGGATTACCTGTGATTGATCTAGACAGTGGTGCCAATTATGTAATGTAATGTAATTTTGGGGGATTGCTGGGCCTCTGATAAAAGGCAAGGCTGTGAGTGAGGTCTGAGAAGGAGAAAAAGGAGCAAGAGATGATGTGCAAGAAGCCCCAGCCACAGCTCTCAGCAAAACCGTCAAAATTTGCCAAGTGAAAATATCTCCATCATCTGAAAATTTGCCTGCTGGGAGGAGAAAAAAGAGAAGTCTGGGCACTGCCAGGTTGTATTCATGCCATGGAAGGGAATCTTGCAGACTGTGAGTACTTTGCATCATTTTTGTGGCCCTCCTCTGGATGTGCTCCACGTCCCACAGAGAGAGTGGTGAGGTTCTGGAACAGGCTGCCCACAGAGGCTGTGGATGCCCCATCCCTGAAAGTGTTCAAGACCAGGTTGGATGGACCCCTGGGCAGCCTGGTTCAGTTCCAGATCCAGAGTTTAGTGGCCCTACCTTTGGCAGGGGGTTTGAACGTGGTGATTCTTGGGGTCCCTTCCAACACAAGCCGTTCTATTTCGTGACTCTCTCCTGTACTGAGGACTGCACAGTGCTCCAGGTGGGCAATGGGAGATGGCAGCAGAGGTGATCTGATGCTGAGGGCGAGCTGGGGCAACCCTCGTGTTGTTCTGCATGGGGTGGGATGCATGCAGCTCAGCTAGACGTCCTTGCAGAGTGTGGTTGTGACTGTGGCATCAAAGCAGTTGGTGCCCTGAACTTTTAGTCAAGCACAGGCTGTGTCTTTGATGACAGGTTTCCACTTATGAACTCACAGGTAATGGATGATGAAGATAAGCTGCCATGTTATGTAACTTAAAGTGAATTTTGTCTGCGTGGTATAGCTAAAATAAATGTGTTCATTCCCACAAAATGGCTGGTCTGTCACATTACCCTGTGTCCTCATTGTCTCCAATTGAGCCAAATGGTGGCTATTGGAGATCTGATTGCTTTAAAAAGCAAATTTGTCACATCCTTCATTTCCATTTGTACGGAGAGGAGAGCCTTTCCTCCACGCACTGTGATGGCTGTGGCCACTCACCACACCAGCCCCAAAGCAGTGCTGGTTCTGATGCTGCTCATGGATTGTATCTTTAAACAAAGGTGCAGCTCCGATCCTTTTCCATGCAGCCTGTCACAAACGAGCTACCTGCATGCAATTACAGTGATGTTAATCCCACCTTTAATTCTTTATCAGCTGAACCCTGTGTTGGTTTTCCCACTAGCTTAGGTAACTGATTTCAGGTTAGGGACCTTCATGGGGCACAGAGAAGCAAAACCTCAGCATTCTCACCATTTCCTGAAGCTCCCCGTTGTCCCTGATGTAGTAAAAATTAATAAAAGCTGGATTTCTCCTTGTTGGCTGGTGGGACACTGAGGGTCTGCTGTGATTAGTGTGGATGGGCTTTTCACTCTCCATGGAAGGCAATGCTCCACGGCTCCCCTGCTACACCAGCACATCCTCAATCTCCTTCCCACACAGCACATCAGTATTTCCACTCCAGTCTTCCCTGCCTCATTATTAGTAATTTCACCATCTCCACTAATAGCAGATCTGCTGACTGGTGCTCTTTGGTGAACCCTCTGCTTCCTTTCCCAGTGGGAAAGGCCTTGCTTGGCCCCCTGTTCCTTCCTCCCTGCCCTCTATGCGTGCCCTGCACTGGGGAATGGGGAGCAGGCAACACTCTTCATTCTCTGTGTGTCTTCCCATAACAGGAGCACTATTTCATTGCAACTTATTCCTTTCTTTGAAACCTTTGAATAATTTCCCTCCATAATCAAACTTTTCTATCCCTAAATCAGTTTTATAACCACCTTGTTATACCTCGAAGCTCAAAATGAAAAATTTTTGTTATAAATAACCGGGCTGTGCTTTGAATACTGAGTAGGGCAGCAGATTTCAGAGCAGGTGTTAAAGGGGATGTCCACCCATTGACAGAAAGGAAGAATCAATGAGGTGGGATCAAGAGCATGCAGTTATCCTCCTGACTTTCCAAGGAGGGGTGTGTTTGACTTCAGGGAGCTCCATCCTCCTCCTCATTTTTAGCTGCGTGTCAGGAAGAAGGAATTTGTTGCTGGCTTGCAGTTTATGTGATGGTTTTATTTAACAGATTCATAAGGCTGGAGAGATGCATTGGATCATTGCACCTGGTTTCCCGCACACTGCGAGCCATTACATTTCACCAGGCTCATCATGCAGTGCACCCAGTGACTTGGATTTGACTGAAACATACCTTTCAGAAAGATTTCTTCAGGCTACTTTCACTGGTGGTTAAACGCAATCCTTCCAAAAAAGTATCTAATTTATACTTTGAATGTTGCTGGCTTTGGCTTCCAGCTCTTGTTCTGCTTTTCGCAGAGAAGTCACAGAGTCTTTATTGTGTGATATTTTCTCCCTCTGAAGGTATTTAGATGCAATGATGAAGTCACCTCTCAGTCTTCTGTTCTCAAAAAGCTAACCAGCTTGAACCCTGTAAATCTCTGCATGGAAGGTGTTCCTCCTGCCCCTTAAATCAACTTTGTGGTGCTTTCCTGTACCACACTGGTTCCAACTTTTTTATTATTATTATTATTATTTAAGGAAAGACCTACACAAATACCATAATTTAGCAGAACATGGTGTTAAACTGAAGAGAGAATAATAGACCAATCCCAGGCTCTAGTGAATGGCCCATATGCCTGCCACCCAAACAAATAATTACAGAGCTGTAAATGAGGCACGGGCAGCTCGTTTATCTCCGAGCTGCCTCAGCAGCTCCTGCTTGCCAAGAGGCTCAGTAAGGTGGGAGCTCTTGCATACCCATACTCTGCACATCCAGTTCTGCTCAAAGTACCAGATGATCCAACGATGTGTTACCCAGACATGGAGGGCCCAGCTCTCGTGCCCTTCATAAGGAATGTCCCACCCAGGGGAAAAACACCGAACACTTCATGCAAACTCTATGGTAACTCTCCCTCCATCCCAACTAGTGAAGCTTTTAAGGCCATTGCCCCTTAGATCAGCTCTCACAGGGATCACACTGTTAACTAACTTCCTCTGAGAAGACTGACGTTTAGCCAAGGAAAACACAAATGGCCAAAGCCTAGCTGTTCCTGTGAATCCCTGCTAATAGCAAGACAGGGAGCTAGACACTGTTAACCATCAAGGCTGAAGGCAGCTATAATAATCACGGTCATTAAGCATGACTATTTGGCTATTAAAGAAAGAAGAGAAGATGAGAGGCAGAACACGAATGGCAAACAGCGGTTGGACCCAGGCAGAGGCTCTGCAGAGAGCTGATAATTGAGATGTGTGGGCAGGGAGCACGTGTCCCCAGAGGGCTCCTCTCCTCTTGTGAGCCAAAGACAAAGCACCTCCTTCCCCAGAGCTGCTGCTGAGTCCTACCTGACACTTTTTAGATAACTGAAGAAGCTTAGAGATGGGTACAATAGCTGTATTTGAGGGCTGGAGAATCCTCTTTGCAGATCTAAAGTAATTTAAATGGTATCTGCATATGCAAA